CTCTCTCTCATCTCTCTCACACACACACACACACACTCTCACGCACTCACTCGCACACTCTCTCTCTCACCACACACACAACACACACACATACACACTCTCATTGCCCTACACCAACCCTACCCCTGAACCTACCCCTCACAGGAAACTTTCTGCATTTTTAGATTTTCAAAAAACTTCATTATGTGTGATTTATTAGCTTGTTTACCCGTGGGGACCTCAATTTAGGTCCCCACCGTGACACGAGTCCCCATGAGTCTGTGTGTATTCAGGTTTAAGTCCCCACCAGAATAGAAAAACAGGTATACACACACTCACTCTCACGCACTCACACACTCCCACACTCGCACACACACACACTCGCACACACACGCTCACACACTCTCACATACTCACACTCACGCACTCACACACACACTCACACTCGCACACACACACTCACACACTCGCACACACACACACGCACGCACACACACACACACACGTGTAATTGCCAGCAGCTGGAAAGCTTTGTTTCTGCTAATGTAACTATTCCAGTGTATGTGCAGATCCACCAGAAAGCACATGAAAGAGCCTGCAGATACTCTAATGATCTGATTTCACACTGTTTCTAGAGCTCAAACTGATGGGTTAAAGTTGCATGTGTGCGTCGTCTAGTTGTAATTGAAATCTAAAGCTAAAGCTAGTTGTAATTGATTGTCTTGGTCGATTAGATCTGCTTGTATCTTGCTGCTTTGCTGCAGCATCAGGAACTCCTGCCAGTGTCTCTGTGTTTGACAGCGAGCTTCTGATTTCAGAAATCTAGATGAGATCCGTTTGATTTCGAGTTTCAGACTCGTGTGAGCTCTGCACTGATTCTCTGATCTCTACATGTTGATCCTCATGTCCATCTGTCTCTCTGCAGAGTTTCAGTTTAGAATCCATTTGAACTATTATAGAACTATTCCACATTCACTTCAATGAGAGTAAATGAGATGCACTGAACTGCAGAAAAATTATCATTTAAAAACATTAAACACTTAAGAATGTTTTACAAATGTTTTTCTTGGTTATACGAACATAAAGGCAACATTCCATTTGATCATTTCACAAACATTATAGGAACGTTACTTTTGAATGTTCTCTGAACGTCCTGAAACAAGTAGATACATTGTTACACGAGCATCCAACTAAAATCATTGAACGATGTATAAATGTCTTTGTGCTAACGGTTTGAGAAACTATTCAAGACTTTAATACTGTGGAAATTAAACTTAGTATTAAAAATAATTATTTTGAACAAATTCAGCACTTTTCTTAGGTGTGCAAACATTAATATTCTATTTGATCATTTTGTAAACATTATGGAAATGTTACTTTTGAATGTTCTGAAACAAACAGTTATAATAGTTCAAAACAATTCTTGCAAACATATTAAACAAAGTAAAAAAAAAAAAAAATCTTGGTTATACAAACATTAAAGGTACATTTTATTTGATAATTTTGCAAACATTATCGGAAAGTTATTTTTAAATGTTCTCTGAAAACAAGTAAAGTGTAAAAAAAGTTCAAACATCCAACTAAAACCGAAATGAAATGTTCCATGAATGATGTATAAATTATGTTTTTGACATTAATACTGTGGAAATTAAACATCTTATTAAAAACAATTATTTTAAACATTTAAAAAGTTAGAAAATAACCAGCTTGACTAGATGGATAAGGATATTACTGATCCTCAAAATGGTCAAACATCAGCCGATTAATCGAGATATGGCTAGTTCTGAGTGATTATGATTATAAAAGCATAGCAGAGTATATTTGCGATGAAAGGAGTGTGTGAATGAAAGAGCCTCACCTGGACGAGTGTGCGGTCAGAGACAGAGACGGAGCAGGGCCAGGGGCCAGGGATCGTCCATGAACGGAGCAGACGAGAGCCTCTTCCCTGCTTCTGACGGATTCTCTCGGTTTCTGGAGGAGACTCTATCAATCTCTCTCTCTCTGTGTGTTTGAACTCGTCTCCGTCCCCATGAGTCTGTGTGTATTCAGGTTTAAGTCCCCACCAGAATAGAAAAACAGGTATACACACACTCACTCTCACGCACTCACACACTCCCACACTCGCACACACACACTCGCACACACACTCCCACACACACACACACACTCACACACAAAC